GAATCATAAAACAAAATGAATTTTCAAAGATACGGAAATTTGTGATCGAGAGGCAATTCGATTTAACGTTGTTTTAGGAAGGATAGGAATTTCTTTGATTTCTTTTTTTTTTTTATTATTGAAATTTTCGCTTCTAATCTAACTTTCTTCAAATTCTTCGTTTTTTGTGAAAAATAGATTTCCACGAAGTGATTTTAAATATTTGATCAGCAGTATATATCTCTGCGAAGAACGCAGATTTCGATGATTCATGGATAAGTAATCGTACAAAAACTTTGCAACAATTTCAATCTTGTAAACACGATGATGTGTACAAATACAAAAATAAAAAGATTTGATAAAAATGTGTTGATCTTCCACTAAAAATCATTATATTAAAAAGTTAACGAGTTGAAAACTTTCGTAAGGAGAATTTTTTATCCGTCAACCGATAAAAACAACTTTTCTTCAACTTTTCCATTCACAAACATGCGAATACTTTCTACTTCGATCCGCATTCGTGTAAATCGAGCCACGTCACGAACTTCAAAAACCATTTCTCGGGAGCGGAAAGCGCGTGGATAACAACGTAGCCGATAACTTCATTCAGAAAATCCAAAGCTTCCGGTTTCCACGATAAAATAAATCACGGCGATTGGCCTTGAAAGACGCGAGTTTCGCCCACGATTCGATCCACGAGGCGGCCAGACGCGGCGAACTAACTTCGTCGCTGCGATTTCGAGTTTCGGGGGCTAATTGAATTCGATCGAAAAATACTTGTCTAATTGCAGCGTCGGGGGTTGCCACCCTTGGATGGAAAGTGGGGCCGAACTTTCCAGTTTATGGAACTGAATCTTAAGTGGCCGACCCTCCAATTTAAACTTGGGTTATCGTCTTGTCCTCGAAAGCAGGTTACCGTGCACTCACACTCTCATATCGCGCCATCCGTGAATCAAACCCCTTCCAAATATGGCGGGGTCCAACTTGCGATTCAAGAATTCAAGGATTATTCATAAGTAAATTTGATAGATTTGTTGTAAAAGTTATCTTAAAAATATTGACATTGGATGTTGCATGGTGGGGATTTATGTATTAAAAAATTTTCCAATATATTCAGTTCTCATGTTTTTTCGAGTTTTAATGCTTCATTACATTTTGGATCTTTTTTTTTTTTGGTGAATTTATTATTTTTTTATTCTTGTTTGAATTTTGATTTCACAAATACGAATTTTTGTGATTTTTTAGTGATAGAATATTTTCTCTGCTTTAAAATAATTCCAAGTTTATTATTTTATGTTTAAATTAGTGATCGAGGACCTCGATATATATATCTGAGCGTGTTTATTATGAATTCTATTAAATTTTAAATATTTTCTTTGTTCCGTTAGAGAATATGCATTCAACGATACGTATAATATCTCGTCAATAAAAATTAAATTTCCTCCTCGTCGATATATTCATCTCGTACTCATATATATATATTTTTATATGATATTTTGACTGATAATTTTATCATTATTTCATAGTTTCTAGTGCGGCATTATATCGTATAAACTTGTAATAATTTTTTTTTAATACTATTAGATCTTATTAAATATTAAATATAATATTATTATATATATATAATATTATTATATATATATAATATTATTATATATATATAATATTATTATATATATAATATTATTATATATATTCATAATAAAATTAAATAATAAAGATCATTTTATAAATTGTGTATCGATTGTTTATTAAAAAAAGACAAATGTCAAATATCTATGTTGGGAAAATAAATTGACCTGTGAAAATTTTTCAAATCGAAATGAGGGAGGATTGATAATATGAAATTTCAGGGGATACAAGTGATTCATGGGTTAGGAGAATATCGATGGGATGAGAATGGTAATGGTTTCGTGACTATTCGAGGAGTTTGGAAAAGGGGATTGGCCGACTAGGAAAAAGGTGAAAGGAAAGGAATCGAAAGTTTTCGATAGATGTAAGAGGATGGATTGGAAATTGATTCGATAATAATGAGGATGGTTGATGCAATAAAATTGAATTTTTATATTTCTTTATTTGTATTAATATTTATTTTATATTTCTGTTTTTTGTTTTTCAGGTGAGCGTATTCTTAATGGACTTATTGAAATGATCTTTTGGCTTCAGAGTGTATGGATGATTTTTGTCAGAAGTAAGTTAAAAGTATTATATTTTTTATTATTAAATGTTTGGAATTATATATATTTCATGAAAGAAACATTTTATATTATATGAATATTATGATACATTAAAATCCTATAATTAATATAAAATCATTGAACTGTAAAAAAAAACGAAAAGAATTAAACGAAAGATTGCAAAAA